TTTTTTCATGTGAGTCTTTTCCAAGATCCTCCAAAAAGTCACACAGACTTGTGAACTCAGCACAGAAACCAATGCTGCGTTCCTGACGGCTCTGAACTCAGACAAGTTTTCCAAGTTGAAATATCTGACTTCCGACCTCAAAGCGCTCCAGGTGCATGATGGTGCATGACACCGAAAGTCAAAAAAAAAAAACATGGCTGAGTGAGACAAACTGATGTTTCTTTGTCAAGTGTTGAACAGTTGAACATCATCATTGGGATCCTAATCCAAAAAACACTTTTATTACTTCTACACAACATGTGTCGGGGTTGGCGTTGACCTGGAAGGGGCCGTCTTGTAGGAGGAGGACAACCAGCTACTTGCTGAGCGTGAAGGTGGTGACAGTCTGATTGGAGCTACATGGCGTGCGGCGTTGGTGAACGTCGTGTCAGCACTTCAGGAGGCCCCTGTAGACCTCAACTACTTTGCTCAGGTGAATGCTGTGATGGATGTCTGGCTGAGGAGCAGCTGCCTGTTGAATCTAAGCTGACCTGACCTCCAACTACACAACTGAAGTGTATTTCTAACTCCTAGTTTATTCCCAACGGTGAATTATCAGAAATACATGTTCAGAGTAGTGTCTTTATCTATGACAGCTGCGGTCGGCAACATCCGAGAAACCAGCAAGAGTCAGCTACATTTTAAAAGTACCCAACCCCTCCCTTCAGGCCCCCCTCCAAAACCTATAAATCCCCCAAAACACATGTTCATGTGCAACAATCGCACAAGCAGAGTGCACTGAGGTAGGTATGTCATCAAGTAAATAACTTGTAATTATCCTGAACACAGTTAAACGTCACCAGCTCTATTTCCAGGATACAAACTACATCAAATTAATTATCAAAACACCTTTTCTGAACAAACCTGTAGGTGCAGTTGTCTGAAATGGTCACTAGGGGTCAGGCTAGGACCATGATGGTGAAACATGAGCTACAGCGCTGCTTGTTTTCATAAAGTTAACAGAAAACAAATCATGTTCTTGTGTAACTATATTTTTTGAAAAGATGATCATCAAGTTAAAGAACCACTGGAAGAGCCGAGAACTTTCTCCTTTTGTCTGCAGACCTGAAACATCAGCAGGACTGAGTTTATGTTACAATAACTGCTCCACCTTCACTAAAGATAGGCTACCTTTTGTCTCTTTTAGTAGCTTTCCACTCTGAGATACTTGGTGACAGGACTTGTTTCATTTTCCGTTACAGGAAAGTAATGAAGAGCTTCATTGTGCTTCTTCTCTGGATGTGTGACAAAATGTTTGATGATCTAAAGTCTGTTTGTTCTTGTTCCCTTTCAGCCTGAGTGGCACGACTCAGTCTGTGACAGCCGTCCCTCTTCCACACTTTAAATAAAACCACTCATTAGAATCATTATTGTCTTTAATTCACTCACAGTAACAGCTCACTGCAGCTTGTGTTGCATATTGGACTTTAATTTGTGCACCGCGTTAACACGTGGAAACTATGGGGTTAGTTTTTATTTACTGCCGGGGCTGCACCACGAAGCGAGTCCAACCATGTTCAACACACCAAGGATATATTTCCGTTATCTGGCTTCACTGACACTAATAATTACGATCTACATAAGCGGTCCCACAAAGCTGGTTATCAACTCAGTAAATCAACCCAGGGTTTCCTAATGCAGCCAGGAGCGCGTTCACATTTAAGAGGCGGTGTTAGCAGCAGATGACCAATCACAGACTTGCAAGTCTACTGGCATCAGAGCGTCATATTTTACAGAGGAAGAACAAACTATGACACTATAGAAATACGACATAGTCGTAAGTAGCACAGCTGCAGCTGCGTTGATTTGAAGTGTTCTTATGAGCTGTATGAAAATATCAGCCTCTTTCAGCTCGGCTGTGTGTCCACATTAAAAGACTCGGCACTGAATAATTGGTCGTTCCACCTCACTTCAAAAATGAGATTAATTTATTTAACACACTCAAACGTGTTCCAAACATTGATCTAAATTAACTTCATAAAGCAACGAAACGGAAAATCCATTCATGCCATAAAATGTGCTCAAATAGTGGCTGAAAGGCGCCACATCGCAAAAGGTGCGGCGGGACATGAAGTCACAGTCTGTGCGATAGACTTAGATAGATACTAACCACAGTAGATACTAACCACAGTGATGTTAGTAAGGTTCAAAAGAATGCTGGGATTTGTCAGCAAAATTGTAGGCTGTTATCTAACATCACTGTGGTCCTTCAGTTATTGGTGTTCAGACAGCAGTGGTTAAAAAGAAAAGCTCTTGCAGGGAAACAGGATGAGCAATGCAGGCTAAACACTATAAAACGAGCCAGAGCGTATACACGCTGCAATGACCAGACACAGACTAAGGAAAGAAGCAATCACATATACACATGGGCTAACGAGCTGGGAGGGGATACACAGGTGAAAGACATGAGGGACAAATCAAGCACACAGATAGGTAGAGTGACAGCAGGGGAGAACTGACAGATACTAACAGATGCAAAACACAAGACAAGTCACTAACTGGAACTCAGAGCACTTAGCAGAAAAGCAGGCAGAAGAATTGCTGGGGGAACCGACAGAAGCAAATCTGTATGCAGGAAATAAACTAAACATAATAGGACAAAACTAAAACAGGCCAGAGAGGCAAACTGAATAATAAACTGAGTAACGAGAACAGACTAAAGCAGAACAATCAAAATCAGAATAATACTAAACAAATCGGACCAGAACTACACAAACAGACCCCCCAACAAGACACACAGACAGGACTGAAACACAAAACAGAGACAAAATAACAGATACAGAAAAGATTAAAAATAAAACAAACTGACTGAGAACTAACTAACTAAACAGAGCAGACACCCCCACAGTGTGACAAACACTTTCCAAAAGAAACAAAACATAATACAAAGGCAATACTATAAAAACTAACAATATTATAACATAGCATTAAGACAAGGCAATAAATAAACGGTAAAAAGAAAATAAGCAACAGTTATTTCAATTATTTCATAGTTAAGTTATAGCCATAGACTGCACAGCCTTAAAATCAGAAGTCCTGGAAAATGATCTCTAGAAAAGAGTAGGAACCCTAAATATGTTGTTGTTGGGCAGCCCGTTCTTCTCTCAGACATCTCTCGTCACATATCCATGCTTGGAGAAAGGGTGGCAAAGTGTAGTTATTTGACGCAAAAGGTATCCTTCGGTGTGTGTATGAGACGCCTCCAGGCGCATCGGTATTTGACACTAGTAGCGCTTCCGGCCACTAACGAAGTTTATGTTTAAGGCGTTGACAGTCCCCCGAAGCGCCTTACCCTAACCTTAACCATCACAGAAGTTTGTGCCTAAAGCTAAGTCATTTAATATCAAGGTCAACAGCGAGGGGCCGTTGCATCTGCATGTGCCGCCATCGTGTAACGTTATAAAATATGCATGTCGACCAGCAAACTCTGCAGCTGTGCACACAGTAGGGTTAGCCTCCTTTGTGTTGCAATGCACCAGCAAACTGCATCGTTTCATCCGCTGAAAGGAACTTTTTGGTAAAATAACTACGATGTCTCAAAGCATGGGTGACGCCTGAGATGAGAAGGGGTTGTGTTGAGAGTAATGTGTGCATGTGTAAAGAGGTTACGTCCCCCAAACAAAGACACAAAAGAGGGAAGACTAAATCATGTGTGTTGAGTCAGCAGGGGTGGTATTAAACGAGAAAAGTTGATCTACAGAAGAAAACATACCTGAAAGTGACACAGAATATCTGAGAGCCTCACTGCATCATGTTCTGTCATATATCTTTACTGTATTAAGACATAGTGATAAATCAATGGTATGTTTACTAATTTCCATTTTGAATTATTATCATTCATAATTATTAATTAATGATTACCAAGCTAACCTCTCTGGGCTGGTTGAAAACAAATAATAAAAATAAAGACTAGTCCAACTGTGCCACTGATGTCCAAGCTAGGGGGGGAAAAGTACTGTTGCCCAGTGTGTTAGTAACCACATGGTGCTGGTTAGTTTAGTCTATACTGTCGTTCCCAACAAAGTGTCAAGCTTTCACTGTGAGACATCTGGTCATTTAGCTAAAAATGTAAATATGTCCCTCCAGCCTCTCTGACTGTGAGTCCCAGCAGCTCTCAGCTGTTTTGAAGGACAGTCTGTCTCTCTGAGCTGTGAGGAGGACGACAGCTCTGCTGGATGGATGCTGAGGAGGAACACGAGTGAAGAAGGGCTGTCTGAATGCTGTAGTTTGTCTCTGTGTTAAGATGGACCAGTGATCCTGCAGAGTCCTGTCCTCCCCTGTGATGGAGGGACATGATGTCACTCTGCACTGTAAAACAAGGACCCCTCCCTCCAACCTCCCAGCTGGTTTCTATAAAGATGGCTCCCTCATCAGGACTGAGCCTACAGGTCACATGACCATCCACCATGTTAACAAGTCTGATGAAGGCCTCTACATGTCACGCTCTGCCGGTTGGCCATCCTTTGTGTTTACTTTTGAGTTTGGTATCTGCCTTGGTATGTTGAGTTTTGGGTTCTGTCCTGTCTAGTGTCCAGTATCTGTTATATAGTCTGCTTGTCATGTCAAGTCTCTGTTTTCCTCTGCTCTCTCTCTCTGCCTCGTTAGTCTCATGTCTGTCACCTGTGTTGCTCCCGCCCTGCTCGTTAGTCCCTGTGTATATATACCTGGTGTTTCTGTCTTGTCCTTGTCCGGTCATTGTTCATGTTACCCCCCCAGTCTGTCGTGTGTGTACTCTCTGCCTGTAACCAGCCTTGCTTGTCTCGTCTCGTCTTGACTCGTCTCCCGGTACTTTTGGATTTCAGTTATTCAGCCACTCACCTGTAAGTGTGCTCGCTTTTGTTTGTTTATTAAAACCCTTCGTTGTACCATACCTGCCCCGCTCTGTGTCCTGCGTTTGGGTTCTCCAACCTGCCTCCACACCACGATCGTGACACTACAAGTGTAACATCAGAGGTCGTGGAGAGTCTCCATCCAGCTGGATCTCTGTCACAGGTGAGGCGCTCAAAGATAATTCTCAAAATGACCTGGTTTTGTTTTCTACATTGAGTTCAGCAGGTTTCAGGACAGCAGAGATGATTCATGATGTGACAACATTTCTAACTTTGCAATCTGCAAAGAAACAAGAGTGAAATCTGTTTCTGAGTTTAACCTGCCATTTGATACTCTACTTAAACCAGACGGACATTATGAATTCACTTCTTTGTGTCTTTCTGTTAGCATGCTGTTGAATAATTTATCAATTTATTTTATTTTCTGTGCCTTTAATTATAATTGTTCGTTTTAGAGAAACCCACCACTACAAGTCCTGCTTCAACCACCTCTCCTCCTGGTTCCTCCTCTTCTCATCTCTCTGTGTTCTGGTCTGCTGTTCAATCTCTCGTGTTCTGGTTCTACTGGTGAGACGATGCCTCCACAGGAAACCTAAAGGTTGGACACAGATGTTTCTATTAACACTTGTTAATCCATGTGATGCAGTTCACATTTAAAGTTTCCATTAACACTTCTGGACGTACAAATAATAACAAGTTACAAACTGTTTCTTTAAGTCAGACGTCCATCAGGATTCTCATAAATCACATTGCTGCTGTTAATAAAACAATCTCACCACAGGGTCCATTTAGTGAGCTGTGGAGCTTTTGACTGAATAACATGATCTTCCTTGATTTAAATTTCTGCTCATTTTGGTTCATTCAGCTGAAGAAGAAGCTGGGGATGATGACATCACAAACCTACATCAGCCAATCAGACGCAGCAGAGGTAACAATGTTTTATTGATTCTGGTTTTCAGGGACAGTGAGTGTGCGTTCTTATTCTTATGTGTGAGGACCAAGTTGAATTTTAGACCTTGTGAGGAAATTTTTCTGAAATGAGGAGATGATATAAATGTTTATCAAAATAAATCAAATTTAAAATCATACAGTTTTCAGACTCATTGTGGTCTCTTTAGGTTAATGACAGTGTTGGTTTTGTGCCCTGCGATGAATCTGCTAACAGAAGCTAACAGCTCTGTGGTCGTCCAGTTTACTGTTTTCTTTTAACACTTGAAGGATGACATATAAATTATAAATGTACAGATCTCTGTACATTCTGCTCACACCCAATACATCAACATGTAGAGACAGTTCTACTGTTGGGTCTTAAACATAGTTGATCTGTTTGTTTTATTGTAAATAAAAGGTAAATTAAGTGAATAAAGTAAAGTAAAAGATGCACTCAGCAGACCAAAGACACTTGGTTGTGCACCTGCATCTAAACCACAGCAGCAACTTCCTCCTGTTGACTCCAGTGAGCTGAGGTCTGACGCTGGTGTGGTTTCTCACTATAGTTTGATCTGCTTTAGCTGATGGGGATGTGTTTGTCTATTTTTGTGCTGAAATGTGTGAACTTATTTTGTGGTCATCTAGATCCCTGTTTCAGATAAATACCCTCCAGTTATATTTGATCTTTCAATTTTATTATTTATATAGCGCCAAATCACAACAACAGTTATCTCACAGCGCTTTTCATAAAAGAGCAGGTCTAGGTCTTATTTACAGAAGCCCAACAGTTCCCACCAAGAGCAGCACTAGGCGACAGAGGCAAGGAAAAACTTCCTTTTAAGAGGCAGAAACCTCGAGCAGAACATGACTCAGGGTGGGCGGCCATCTGCCTCGAGTGTGTGTGTACAACAACAATAAGACTAGTAACAATAGTCGTTGCAGCAGAGGGTGTCGAGCAGGAACACGGGGGCAGCAGGTGACTCGCAACCACAGATCCAGACTCCACAGCTCCAGAGCCAGAAAACCTGCAGGAAGTGATAGGAGGAGAGAGACGAGAAAGCACAAGACTACCAGAAAGGGGAGAAGTTGTGTTAGTAACATGCAATAATGGGATAAGGTTGCATACAGAGGGAGAGAAAGTAGAGGAGAGAGGAGCTCAGTGCATCATGGGAAATCCCCCGGCACTCTAGTCCTATAGCAGCATAACTAAGGGATGGTTCAGGACTCACCTGAGCCAGCCCTAACTATAAGCTTTATCAAAGAGGAAAGTCTTGAGCCTACTCTTAAATGTGGAGATGGTGTCTGCCTCCTGAACCCAAACTGGAACCTGGTTCCACAGGAGAGGAGCTTGATAGCTGAACGCTCTGGCTCCTAGTCTACTTTTGGAGACTCTAGGAACCACAAGTAACCCTGCATTCTGGGAGCGCAGTGCTCTGGTGGGGTAGTAAGGTACTATGAGCTCTTTAAGATAAGATGGTGCCTGACCATTAAGAGCTTTGTAGGTAAGAAAACCTTTCACCTTTCACAGTAGTAAGAACAAGAAAACTATCAAACCTGCTGCCTTTTACAGAGTCTATAAAACAACTTATTATAATTCTACATGAAAAGTAATGAAATCATTCTACAGCAGTAGTATTATTACATGTGTTACAGTACTAGTAGTTCTAGTATAAAACATTATACTAACAGCACTTGTAACAGCTGTAGTTTTAACCCTTATTTAAAAATAACTAGTGTGTGTGTAGGGGTGATCCAAGTATCGTAGTTACTGTCAGTAATAATAGTGACATAGTAATGAACATAATAATAAAAGTTAACAACTTGTGCACCAGTGTTTGTGTTTATCTTGGTGACTTGTGGCTCTTCTGGAGGCCTCATTGGCTCACAGAGAAGCCTTCAGGTCTTAAACTAACATCTGAACATAATAATTAATACATTATAATTATAAGTAATTAGAATAATTAAGCCTTACTGTGTCACACACAAACTGAATTTAAAATAAAACAGATAAATACAACTAAACATTTTACGTATGGCTAAAACATTAGCACTAACAACTTGCAAGAAAGATATCTACACAGACACACAGTAAACATGATTTAGGAACAAAGCAGCCAATGCTGTAACAAAAATAACAACAAAAAAAATCTTTCTCACCTTAAAATTATTTTTCTCTCTAAACTTGTATGTGCTGCCACAGGGTGACACTTTTCCCCATGTGTAATAAGGACTAAACTGAGCATGTGCAGATTGAATCAGGTGATTCCTTATTGGAGAAATTTGAGGTGTCGCACTTTCACCTGCCACCGTCTTATACACAGTCTGCAACACACATTTTACTGGAGGCCGTTTTACCAATGCATCCAACCAAATAATACATATCTATACTTGACATGTTTTGTAAGTATGGGCAGCTGTATTACAAGTTCACTTTTAAAAGCTGCCCACAAAATGTAAGTCTGACAGTTCTGGAGCGGCCAAGTGGAGATCAGCTGATTGGAGGAGCCAAAATCAATCATGAGAAAATAAAGACATCAAGCAGATCCAAAACAGCAGTTGCAATCCAGGGAAGTGTGGCCAAAGACTGCCCCAACACAAAAAAAGACACACAGCTATTATTAACTAAATTAAATGATCTAATTGATTCTAACATCTTAAGGTAACATGAGTCATACATATCACTCGCACTCACACACACATAGCCATATACAGACAATTGGTCAGGACTCTGCTGCACGTTTGCACAAGACCAACCCTTATGTACTACTGAATTGTTTGCAACTATAGTTAAAATGGCGCTGTATTGCCACCTGCAGGAGAAAAACAAATGTGGAAATTGGCACATCAGGATGACAACCTACTATTTTAATATATAAAAAGATTTGACCTCCTTTCCGTTTTTTTACTGCCCCTCAGTCACTTCATCCGGGCGGCAAACACACAAAGAAAAACGCTAACGCAGTTGTTTTGTGAAATTCTCCTCTGGATAGTGAGTTACATCCATCAGTGACTTTGTTGTTTTTCTTCTCACAGCCTAAATGACATTCTGTGAACTATTACACAGAAAGTTCGCAAAAACATTTTGAGCTAAATCAACACCAGAAGTCACCTTTCTCCCATTTTGTGCCTCCTCGTCTCCTCCATCCTCCATCCTCCATCCTCTGTTGAGTTTTAAAAAGTTACAACAAACTTAATGTTTTCCAGTGTTTCAGTGTTTTTCTTCAAATGTAAAATTGCAGGATTTTAGGCCAGGCAATTGCATTAGAATGTTGATTAAACCATTGTTTGTATCCTCTTTGTAATGTGATGAAAACTGACACCTCTTTTTTTAGTGCCAGAAGGACTGTTTTGTTTTGACTGTTTCATTGACACTTAAGATAGGGTGTCAACCATTTTGGAGACAAGCCCAGTTGTTCTCTATGATTAATTTAGACAGTTTATTCCTGTGCATTGAAGGGGGGTTTCACGTCTGGGTTCGGTGCTCTTTTGTTCGACCACACCCTTCCCAATTGGGTGACGAAGAAGTTAACCAAACGACCAATGGCTATGGACCTAAGCCATTTGGAGGAAAATGGACCCGCCCACATACCTGGAGGATATTAACAATTTATTTTGTGAGAATCAGGACTGTAAGCTGTGGATCTGGGAAGAGAAAAAGCTTTTCAGTCCACTGCTGGAGGCGGCTTTAGCTCAGTCTGTTCGGACTTGACTGAAAGCTGTAAATCTGAACGGAGGACCAACTTTTCAGTCCACTGCAGTGTTATTTGTTTGTTCTGTAATGCCATCTCTTTATTCACTAATTTTTGTAATTAAATCTTTTTGTTAATATTCATTGGACTGAGCCTCTCCTTTCTCAAAATCTGATAAAACACAACACCCCCTGCCTGTGACCCACAAATTGATCAGCTCAATGCTTAAAATGTAGAAAAATGAGGAGTGAGGAGGCGTGCTGGAGGAGCTATAAGCGAGGATACAGCGATGCATTCTTTGCGGAAGTCTTTTCGCCAGCCATGATGTTGAAAAGAGGAGTGGCATGCAGCTGGACTATCCAACCCCATGGCGGGAGCAGGACTCTACGGTGGTCTTTTGTTCATTAATATCGAATCGGGACATTTCTAATTAGGTCAACTGATGTTGTTATTGTTGAATGGGATGTGTTGATGGGCAGGCAGGATCATAAAAATGAACACTGAATAGCGGCTGGGTGAAACAGGGTGAAGTGTCTCCCTGTGCATATTTACACATGTAGCAGCATAACCTGCTAACTTGATCAGATGTTAATTCATGTTCTGTGTTCTTCTACACATCCAAACGGTCTCACATAACAGTCTAGGTTCATACTATGAAACTGTTCAGAGCAGCTTGAAGTGGGACTTTTTTTCTAGCGTACCGGCACTTTTCACAAACTGCCGGTACTCGCCTCTGCCCTCTCTGTATCAGGTTCTCTGGGTGCAATGTGACGCTCACCTGTTCCTGTTCTCTCTCTGTTGGCAGACGAGGGAGAAGATCATGCAGCCGTGAGCAGAAAGTAGCTCGTTAATGTCACTTTTTGTGAACTGGTTTATCAGGACTTTTTCATCTAACTTTTGTTTTTACTCTGGAACGGAAGTACAATACTTCTACTAAAATAAAAAAGGTACTTAAAGTAAAATTACTGATTACTGTTAATTTAAACTTATTTGAAAAGTAACTACACATGACTCAGACTTTGTTACAGGAATAAGAGTAAATTTAAATGGTTGCTTCCACCTCTGCCTAACATGGTATCTAGTTTTGATAAACAGACAACAAACAACATATTACATGGATACTTTAACACTTATGAGGGACTTCATAGGCTTACTTTACTCCACCGAATTCACAATCATGATGAGAAAAAGTAAAACACATCAGACATCACTGGATGTCAAACTCAACATCAAATGCTGAAAGAAGCCTTTCACAGTAATGAGGTACTTTTACTTTTTTATTCTAAAGCTGCTTGCACACTGCCCCGACAAACGGCGACCGACTCCAACCGACTTCAACCAACACCGACTGTTGGATCAGTGTGCTCCGTCAGTCATTTTCAGTTGGTAGCAGGCCAATAATATGTGAAAATAAGCGTCACCTTTATTTCCGTGGTAGCAAAGGTATGTCTTTGTGAAACGTTAATG